AATAATTAAAAAATTGAAATCTAAGAACAAAACACAATTGCTTTTTACCTGTCAAGGTTGTCTGTTGATGACACTTTTTTAAAAATCCAAGAAATCTTCAACATCTGACTCTGCTATAAATTTTTTTTTTTTTTTTTTTTGAAGTTTTCTATAAACTATTAAAGAACTTTTATACAGAAAATACAAGAATTTAGTTATTTATTAGCCTCTTATTTTTTACGAAGAATTGAAATATGGCAAATAAAGAAACAAACAAGAAACATAACTTGACTCAGATATCTTTTCAAAAGAAATCTGATTCAAGTTATATTTCTTGTTTGTTTCTTTATTTGCCATATTCCAGTGCAAAAGAATCTTTTGCACTGACCAGATTTCTATAATAGGATCAACAGATCAAGAATAGAAAAGAAACTAACTAAAAAATATTAATAAACACAAGAAACAACATGCATTCTGTAGTTTTTTTAGAAGAAAGTAAATAGTTATAAAATATGTTATTCTTTAAGCATATGCTTCAAGCATTTATTTGCTTAGAAGAAAATAAATAGTTATAAAATATGTTATGCTTTAAGCATATGCTTCAAGCATAGTATTTATTATTATTGATATTAGTATTAAATAATATTAATAGTATATAAATTTATTTATATTTACAGTAAATATTATTTTATTTATAACAATAGCATATATTTAATGATAAATACTAAAGTATGCATTGCTTGCTTATGCATACTTTATAAAGCATTGCATACTATATTATGCATACTTTTGTATTTAATATTAAATATATGCTATTATTATAATATTTACTATTAATATAAATAAATTAATATAATATTAATACTATTTAATACTTATATTAATAACAACAAATACTATTTGTAAATTATTTAGAGAGATGCGCATCTCACTAAAGTTTTTACAAATAGTATTTGTTATTAAATAGTAATATTTTTTAACAAACACTAAAGAAACAAAAGACTTAAAACTCTACATACATAAGAATCTCTAAAAAGAGTTTTAAATTTAAAAAAATGTGTATACGTCCACTTAGCAACTCAATTAGCAAAATGGTTAATATAGTTTGCCGTTTGAAAAACCGTTTTGCTTTTTAAATGACTTTATATTAAATTATAAAACTTTTTAAATTTTTAAATGACTTTACACTAAATAAGTAAACAAAATACAAAAAAATAATTATTTTTACTACTTTATTTATCTTCAATATCAATATATTTTAACATTTTTAACTCAATAAAAGTCAATATTAATTACAATTTTACACACCTCTGGGGCAGTGTAAAATTGTAGTTTACATAATTGTAAAATTGTAAACAAAAAATGGACGTAAACTTTTTATAGGACTGTGTAATTTTACAATGTAAACAATGTAGCTACATTGTAAAAATTTACATTGTAAATTCGCTTTATAGGATAGGCCCAAAGTCTTTTGTCTTCCTGCTGACAAATGTGCTTCTTACATAACTTGGTGGATTCAGGCTGGTATGGAATCTTTTATTCCCTCTTGACAATTCTAGGTTAAGCCTCAATGTTCCCCATTGTTTTTCTCACATTGTACTGCTGCTATTTCCAATCGAAATCATTATATCCATATCTATCAGCAAACTGGTTCTCCAGAAAACAGATGTCTGTTTATTACCGCTAGAAACCGTTGTAAAAAGGTTTTGTCTAATGCTAAAGCCCTCTATTCTCAGGTCATGAAATCTCGTATTTATCACAAAAATTAGGCTCTTGTGAGTTCTAGAGAATCTTTAATAGTATCAATAATAGGGGCAAATCTGTTATTCCACCTCTCTTGCATGGTTCAGACATTCTCACCTCACCTAAAGAAAAAGCTAAATTGTTTGCTAAGAACTTTTCATTAATATCATCTCTTAATTCTGCTAGTTGCGTTCTTCCTGGTTTAGCCACCAAACAGGTTGACCCATTGCTTGACTTTCATATTACTCCAGCTTCTGTATATAAAGTGATTTTCTGCTTAGACCCTTCTACAGCTTGTGGTCTGGACAACGTACCTGTTATAGTTTTGCAGAAGTGTTCAAGGAAGTTATCATCTATACTTTCAAAATTATTTAACAAGTGCTTATCAGAGTCTTGTTTTCCAGCCTACTGGAAAGCGGCATGTGTTATACCTATTTTCAAAAATTCCAGAGAGCGATCTGATTTGCCTAACTATTGTCCCATTAGTCTTCTTCCAATCATAACCAAGATTTTTGTGTCTTTAAATAACAAATACATAATCTCTTATCTTGAATCTAATAACTTACTTTCTAATCATCAATATGGGTTTCGATCTTCTCGTTCTCCTGCTGATTTTCTAATAGTAATAACTGATAGGTTTTATCGTGCATTAGATAAAGTTGGAGAGGTTAGGGGCGTTGCTCTTGTCATTTCTAAAGCCTTTGATAAAGTTTGGTATACTGGACTTCTCCATGAGCTTTCTTCTTACGGTTTATCTGGTAACATCTTTAAGATTATTGAATCCTTCTTTTCCAATCGCAGTATAAAAGTTGCCTTTGATGGACAGCACTCTTCTTCATTTTCTGTAACTTCAGGGGTTCCTCAAGGTTTAATCTTTGGCCCTATACTCTTTTTAATTTACGTTAATGATCTTCCAGATGTTCTCACAGATAAGGTGGCATTAATCACTGATGATACTACCATTTATTTATATCATGATAAGAAGCTAATACTCTCTGATTGCTTGGAGATGGCATTTGAGCTTGAAAAAGATCTCACTTCTGCTACAGCATGGGGCTCACAGTGGTTGGTAAACTTTAATTCAGATAAAACTCGATATTTTTCAGCCAATCATTATTGTAATAAATTAGATCTTCCTATATTTATGAACAGTAATGTACTCAATGAGTCATCTACCCTTTGTCTTCTAGGATTAACTCTAACTTCTGATCTTTCTTGGAAACCATATATCAAATCTGTTGCAAAATTAGCATCTGCTAAAATTGCATTACTTTATTGAGCTCAACAATTTCTTCTCCAGATTCTATTCACTATCTCTATAATTCTCAAATCCGTCCTTTTATCAAATACTATTGCCATATCTGGGGCAGATTTTCTAATGATGCACTTTCTCTTTTAGACAAGGTGCAAAAACACGTTATTAACATAGTTGAACTAGCTCTTGCAGCCAACTTTCAACCATTATCACATCGTTGTAATGTTGCTTTTCTTTCTCTTTTCTACAAATACTATAATGGACACTGCTCTAAAGAGCTAGCGACTCTTGTGCCATCTCCAAAAATTCATTCTCGTATTACTCTTCATTCAATTAAGTCTCATCTTTTTTCTGTGACTGTTCCCAAATGCTGCAAAAATCTTATTCCTTTAATTTCTTTCCTTGAACATCAGTTCTTTTGAATTCGCTTCCTTTATCTTGCTTTCCTGATTCATATAATTTGCAATCTGTTAAGTTGTCTGTCAATTGTTATCTTGCTTCCCAATCTTTATCTTTTCTCGTCCAGTGACTTTCAATTCTAATAGCAGTTGCTTGCAGCCCTGTTGGAAGCGTAAACGATTAAAAAACAAATAACAACAACAAAAAAAATATTATCTTTGCACCACTGTGAATACTTTTTAGAATAGTAAAAAGCAACTAGATCAGGCCATAAGGTATTTATGCTTTTTTTTGAATAGAAAAAATCTGTTTTGTAGTCATTCTTTGTTGTAGAGGTCAGCTGTCAAGATCTTTTTAATGATAAAACATAAGGGTTGCATATTACAGCTGCTAATAGCTTTTCACACTAGAAATTTTGATGCAATTTTTTTTTTGTCAAATATATGTATATAAATTGATCATGGATAGGTTTATCTTTGTTCTCAATAAAATTGTTAATGAGGTACTTGTGAAAAATCTGCAATATGTTTCATTATCTTCAGTTATGTACATACTTTTATCTGCCATTATTTTTACCAACTTCTTTGTGCGTCAAATTCCTTTAATTTCCTTTTTCTTTTTGATTTTTAAGTACTTTTTTGATACAAGCATATAAAGTTTTAAATTTTTTTGCTAGATCTCTCTGTGACTGGTTTGGATTTCTTGGTTGAGTTGAAAATCAACTTGAACTTTTTAAATTTAAAGAAATTTTTTTTTCTTTTACTTTTAAGGTTTCCTTATAAAGCTTTGACTACTTATGACCATAGATTTTGGTACATTTATATGTTTAGCGATTAAGCAATATAAAGTCAATGAATTTTTGCAAAAAAAATTTTCAATTTTTTTATGCACCTTAATTTGTTTTTAAGCCTTTTAACGTCATACAAAATTAAACATCATACTAAACCAAGGTTGTCTCAAACATGTGAAGTATAATGAAAATTGCAATGAAATACTATGAGATAAAGAAAATTGCTAAAAGAAAGTTTCAAAGAGTGCAAAAAGCATTTTATAAAAAACTTGCATCAAATGGCAAATATATAATTGACTCAAATAGAATGCTTTAAAAATAAAACTAAGGAGATAATTTATGAAAAAAAATATAATAATTTTTTTTTTTTTAGTGTAATTTATTTCGCCGTTAAAAAATGTTTACATTGCATATACATTTATATAAATTGATGGCTGGAGCAAGAAGAAGGCACATTTCGCCTTATCGCCGAGTGCACAATGTGCACTCAATGTCCGCTTAAATGCCACAGCTAAAGAAAATAGAGTTTTTTACATGCAAATAATACAAAAGCAACAAAAAATTAAAAAAAAAATCTATACATGCACTAAGATAATGAGTTATTGAAAAATCTAATTGTCTAATCATTTTTTAAAAGTATTCAAAAAATGATTAGACAAATATATTAAAAGGGAACATAAAGTCACCAGCTGATACAGAGTGTGATAATTACAAACTCTCTTTTAACATTATAAACATTAAAATTATTGTTATAAATTATTTTAATTGTTATTTTGTTAATTTCAGCAATAAATAGTTAAAATAATAATTATTTTTTTATTATTAAATCACTAGGTTTATTCAAGTAACAAACCTTTGAACATAAAAGAATTGATAAGTGGTATAAATTTGAATGATACACAAAGTGTTGCTCATCTTGTTCAAGCAGTTAGTTCTACCGCAAACAAAATGTCAACAAATTATTCAGTTAACCCACCACTACTTATAAATGATTACACTGGTATGGCTGAAAATGTTTTAAATCAAGAACAAAAGATATCTCAAATGCAGAATGTATTATTTTTTGATATTTTATTTATTTTCTATATTTCAATTTTAATTATTTAAATATTTACATGTAATGTTATATCTTATGCTACTGAAAATTTTTATTTTTAGTTTTTTATTTAATATATTTTAATTATTTAAGTATTTATATGTAATGTTATATATTATGCTACTGAAAATTTTTATTTTAAGTTTATATATATATATATATATATATATATATATATATATATATATATATATATATATATATATGAAGACCACACGAGTAAAACCACAGATGTCACATTTTTCTCATTTCGAGAAAAATGAAATTTAGTGTTTAGTGACTTTAGATATCTGTTTATTAATAATTTATTTAATTAAAAGTATATTTTTCTGACATTTTAGTCCTTATACAATATAAAAACGCAGTTTTTGTGCTAAATACAAGTATTATTTATTCACAATGTTCTTTTGAAAACAAGACACTCATTTTATACATCTGTTGTTTTTCCGTTGTAAACTCATCAACTCGTAAATTACGTTAGGTTGTAACCTTTTAGAGCACTTATTTTTTTTTAAGGTAGATGGTAACACATTGTAATTTACAACTACAACGTACTAAGTGTGTGATGGGATAATAAAGCCACCGCCCCCTCCCCCTCTTTTAATAAAAAAAATTCAATTCACGTTCACAGAAAAACATTTTGAAAAATCAAAATGTTTTTTTAAATGTTTTTCTGTGAACGTAATGTTGTTTACTTCATCCGAAAAGTTAGTCATGTGACTTACGCTTTTATTATCATTGGTTTAGTTAAAAATAACTTGTTTTTTACGCGGTAAACATTGGACAACAGTGGTTGTTTCAAAGTTGCCCTTTTTTTTAAATGACTATAGAACCTTAAAACATAGTTTTTTTGTTATGAATTTTTAAATTAAAATAGGTTAATACTAAAATATCATAAAAATATATAAAACTTGAAATTTTCAAAAAGTGGACATCTGTGGTTTTACCCGTGTGGTCTTCATATATATATATATATATATATATATATATATATATATATATATATATATATATATATATATATATATATATATATATATATATATATATATATATATATATATATATATATATATATATATATATATATATATACTGCCGACCTGAAAGTATTTGAGGTTGACAAAAAATTGCCGACCTTGTTTCTATGTTTTGAGGGGTAAGACCTTTGTATCAAATAATTTTTGACAACTTGATGCCGACCACAAAAAGGTTGAGGTCAATAATTTGCTAACCTCATTTTCGATCTCATTCCGAGGATTATATATATATATATATATATATATATATATATATAAATTTTTTTTTTTTTTTTTTTGCTGACCTCAAAGACCCCAATATCACTCATGTCTTTGTGTCATATCTTAACATGTAATGGTTTATTATCATGTCTACACCACAGTTTGAAAAACACTTTAATTTGAAAAGTGTTTTTATCATTATTCAATACTTACCATCTTCATATTACTTTGTTCCTTAGATAATATAGTACAATGCTAATAAATTCTGAATAAGAGTGTATTTTTTTTTTGTATTATTGTTTACCACATTTTGGTAAACTTTTGTTTACCACATTTTGGTAAACAATAGTGATGTAATTACAATATATAAACAAATGATAATCAAAAATCACAATATGTAAGTTATAATGAAAATAATAAGTTATAACGAAAATGAATAAGAATTTTCAAGAAAGTTTATAAAAATAATAGTTTAAAAAGAAATACTTGTTTTATTTGCTCATTTGTTAAATAAACTTCAATTTTTAAATGATTTTTTGTAAGAACTTTTATTCTTTTTATAGATTCGTACAAAAATGGTTAATTTGCTGAACAATGTTGCCATTAGTGATTTAAATTCTTTCAAAGTTGTAGCAGACGCTTTAGCTTTAACTTCACAATATCCAGTCGAGTTGGATTTTCAAACACAGGTTTTGATGTTAATAAATTTGTAAAATATTACTGGAAATTTTCCTCAAATAGTTCCATAAAAAATAAAAAAAAGATTTGATTAAATTTAGTTAAAAATTACAAAAAAAAAAAGTAATATTGTATTATGACAAAGTGTCTTTACAAAAAATGTTTAAATAATTAAAAATATAGTGTAAAATTTTCTCTTACAATAATAACTTACTACAATAATAATAATAATGATAAGCTGTGGCGAGAAAATATTAAAATAAGGATTAGACTAGTAACAAAAAATAAATAAGTTTTTTTTTTTTTAATCTTGCTTGAAAGGGGTAGCAAACCTTTAGCTCCTTGTCAATAGATGATGAGCTGTGGCAGCGATTTGATAATAAATTGTAAAACTAGTGCTGGCCAGAGTATTTTTTGATACAATGTTTACGAGAGTCAATTGCAGTTTGTAAGAGTAAATTGACTACTCTGTTAGGAAAGAAATTAGGCCCAGTAGAGATAGCTCACATGTTGTTGTTGAAGCACTAAAGAACTTTTTGATGAAATGTTGTTCTTGAGTTATTCGGACAGATGGATTGCTGATTTGTGGGTTGAGCCAATAAATATTTTCTAAGTTGTTAATAAATTTAAAGTTGCAGTTTAAATCACCTCTAATGCGTCTTTCATTTAGTTAGGTGAGGTGAAGAAATGATAATCTGGCTTCTCTGAATAACGCTCTTAGAGACGGAATTGCTTTGATAGCGCCATTTTAGATTTTTTCAAGTTTTGCGTTGCGTGCAGAAAGAGAATTCCATACAAAAGCAGCATACTCGAGGTGAGGTCTGACGCAATGTGTATAGTCTCTTCCAAACTTGAGCGATTTTATAGATAAAAGATTTCTTTCGTTTGACTGAGAACAGAGTTAGTTTTTCTAAAAGCTTTACTTGGACAAATCTAATAGTGCAAAAGTGTGGAATAAATTTAAAAGATATTTTTTAGAATTTTCAAGAAATTGTTGAGTATTGTTATTTTTTTGAGTTAAATTTTCATGTTTTGCATTTTTTGTATTATGTGTATATATAATGAATTATAAATGAAGTATATATAATGAATTAGTTTCTTTGGTCTAGAAGTTTAATCTATTTTTAAACAAACAAATTGTCAATTTAGAAATGAATTTATTAAAATCAAGGCTGAATACTTGACTTAATTGGATATACTGAAGCTCATAGGGAAATCCAAAACTCTCCAAGTAATCAAATTAATAAGGTAGTTAAAGTAAGTAGGTAATCAAAGTAAATAGGTTCTCAAAAGTAAGAAGGTATTCAAAGTAAGTAAGTAATTAAAGTAAGTAAGTAATCAAAGTAAGTAGGTGTTCAAAGTAAGTAGGTAATCAAAGTAATTAGGTAATCAAAGTAAGTAGCTAATCAAAGTAGGTAGGTAATCAAAGTAGGTAGGTAATCAAAGTAAGTAGGTAATTAAGGTAGGTAGGTAATCAAAAGACAAATAGAAAAAAATAGAAAATTATGCTAAATAAAATTGATAAATTAATTATGTAAAAAAAAAAAATAAGATAAAAAGCAGTAGTAAAACTTTAAGTGAAATTAATTTTTTTTACTTTGACAGTTAATTTTTTTCTTTGACGGTTAATTTTTACATTGACAGATTTTTTTTACTTAGACAGTTGGAATAATTTACTACCATTTTCTTTAATTAGGTTTTTTCTAGAAAACAAAATATAATTACAAATCATATAATCATATTTAAATCACCTTTAAATATATATAAATGCCGACTTCAAAATAGATTTAAGTTTTCACTTTTAGTTATGAAATCAACATATTGTTGAGAATGTTTGTCAATAATTGATGACAAAGATTGCATTTTTTTACAATCATTTTTTTTTTTTTTTTTTTTTGATTTTAAAATGTTCTGTTGGTGTGTTATGCTGATATTGGGCAAAATTAATTTTTTTAGTTTATTAAAATTATAGTTTTAATTAGTTCAATATTATTTGATTCTTTTAATATTTTCTACATTTGTATTAAATCGCCTCATTTACATCTTTTTTCCAATGTGCTTAAGCCAATATTTTAATTCTTGTTTTTAAGTTTGTGGTACCAATTTAATGTCTTTGCATTGAATATTTTCAAAACATCAATTTCATTATCATTCAAGATCAACTCTGTTAAATGATGTATGTAATGTCTTAAACATTTTTTGGTAATGTACAGAAAATTTTGTTAACATTCCAAGCATTGTAGTCAGAGTAACCAAGTATTTAGGCAGATTACACTTAAAACAGAGTTAGAATATTTCCCTATCTTATTTATCGATAGTTTATTTCAGGTCTTGATACCGTTTTATCTTTATCATAATATTGTTTAAGGTACTTACAAAACTTGTCTATAAGTTAAATACTTACAAAACTTGTTATAAGTAAATTTCATACAAAACTTGTTTATAAACAAGGTATATACTAAACTTTTTTATAAGTTACATGTAAATCTTATTTATAAACAAGGTACATACAAAACTTGTTTATAAAAATAATGCATGCAAAACCTGTCTATAAGCAAGGTACATGCAAAAAAAATTTTATAAGCAAAGTACATACAAAAAAAACATTTCATAAAACCTCAAAAGCTGCATTTATAAATACAAGAGTTTTGTTTATTTCAAAATGCCAGATTTTTCTGGTAGTTGATAAAGAAATAAATTTTTATTATATTACAACTTTAACATTTAAAAATTTACAAATTAGTTACAAATAGTTAAACAATTATGAAAATTATAGAGTGTTGTTACATATTAAAGCAATTTTTTTAATTAGTTATTAAATAACAAAACTTTATACTTATTAAATAAAAATCTATATAGTTATTAAATAACAAAACTATATAGTTATTAAAAAACAAAACTATATTGTTATTAAATAACAAAACTATATAGTTATTAAATAACAAAACTATATAGTTATTAAATAACAAAACTATGTAGTTATTAAATAACAAAACTATATAGTTATTAAATATCAAAACTATATAGTTATTAAATAACAAAACTATGTAGTTATTAAATAACAAAACTATGTAGTTATTAAATAACAAAACTATATAGTTATTAAATAAAAAAACTATGTAGTTATTAAATAACAAAACTATGTAGTTATTAAATAACAAAACTATGTAGTTATTAAATAACAAAACTATGTAGTTATTAAATAACAAAACTATATAGTTATTAAATAAAAAACTATATAATAACAAAAATTATATAATAACAGTTTTTTTTTCTTTTTTTAATAATTCAAAATTTATTTTTATTATTATCTATTTTTTTTTCCATTTTTGATTTTATTTTGTTATTATTCTTTTTATTTTCATATCATTTGTTAAAATTTGGTAGTTTTAATAAAAAGTAAAATAAAATCATTTTCAATAAAGTTACATTACTTAGTTGATTATTTTTCAGAACGATGCATCAAATGTTGTTATAAAGTTAGCTAAATCTTTTACCAAAGAAAATCTGAAAGGTTTTGGAGCAGACATTTTTGATACAATGACTCAATCATTTGTAAAATCAATATCCAACTTATTCCAGGCTAGTATAAACAATATAACTGCAGGTGCAAAATTCATTTTTTTAAATGTAGTGATTTTCTTTCTATTATATTTATGCTTAAAACTTTTACTTTTTTTTAGATTATTCAAATTATCCTAAATCTTCTGTACAAACAACTATAAATTTAGTAATCATTTAAAATATTGTACAATTAAATTTACAATTTAACATAAAGTAATAATAGTTAATAATAAAGTTAATATTAACAATAAATTTGTAATTATAAGTAATAATAATTTATATTATTATATTGATAATATTATGAATTAACCTTAAAAGTTTAGAAAAATTTAACTATATTTGAAGGAAAATCAAAAAATGGTATCTAACTTGTTACAATCTATGGAAAACTATTTCTTCGCTGTACAATTTTACAAAGTTTCAGGAGAAAATTCAACTGTCGGTCAAACAAATCAGTTTACCTTTGAGCTAAAAAAAAAAATTTTAAGTACTTTGAGCAACAATTCAATAGGTTCATTTGCAAAGAGTGGAGTTGCAGTTAGTTCAGAAATGCAAGTTAAAAATTATGAATATGGCTTTACACTACCAGATTCCACAGACATGTTTAATGAATCAATTCAAAATATACAAGTTTTAGTCAATGTAAGTTTTGTTTATTTTTGTTTTCATTTTAATCATAAAAACATCATTAAAAGTACACAACAAAAACTTCTTTAAAACATCATCGAAGGTATAAAATAATAATGTTAAATGGAAATATATATATATATATATATATATATATATATATATATATATATATATATTTATTTATTTATTTATAAATATATATATTATAAATATATATATTTAGAAAATACGTTTTTCAGAATATCAGAATATATATTCTAAAAGAAGTTGTAAATTTTCAAGGACAAGGACAAGAGGATCTAAAGAGTTTTGAGTTTTTTGAACTTTCTATTTACTGAAATCTGTTATCTGTTTTACTATGTTACTATGTTTTCATGATACTATGTATCTATGTTACTATATTTCTGTTATCTATATCACTAATAGAAAGTTTTTATGTCCTAAAATTGGGTGAAGAAGATATAATTTTCTGTTGATGCGCAACTATTAGTACTTCAGTTCTTACCCAGATAACATTGACATACGGGTACTGTATGGTTTTAGTCTGGGCTTACGAGAACTGGATTTTGATAGTGTTTGTTTTGGTTTCCAGAAGGGTCAGAACGGTTAAAAAATCAAGCAAATTTGCTTAATTGCCTAGCCAACCATTATATATGGGTACTTTTAAAAATACTTCAATTAGCATATGAAACAAAGTATTTATCTTTTCAGCCAGAGTATTTTTTTTTTTTTTTCTTATTCTGCATCAAATCAAAATAATTTTTAATTTTGTCATTTTTCATATTCAACAGTAAAAAAAGTTTTTTGTGTACCACTAATTCACAAATTTAAAACTTTCTTGTTTGCTGATCTGTGTTAAAGTAAGCATTTATATATAGCGCAAAAAGAACCAATCAAATTTTTCAAATAGAATCAAATCCTAAATTGAACCAATACCCGTTAAAATACAATCAAATCATAAATTGAACCAATTCGTTTTCAAAAAAAATCAAATCATAAATTGAACTAATACCCTTTCAAATAGAATCAAATGCTAAATTAAAGTGAGTTAAAAAACATTAACATAAAAGAAAATTCTGTATTTGTACTTTGACAACAGAATGTTTCGACAGCAAATACCGATAACTATCAGAAGTCTTATAGATTCAAAGGTTTGTATTTTAAAATATGTTCCTTAACTTTTACTTTAAACTCATAATTTTTTTTTCCATCTCTTCGGATTTAAGATATTTTGCTATAAAAGGTCACTCTAGTGACAATCTAGCTTCTTGTTTAAAATATTGAAGAAAACGTTTTCGCAAAAAATTTTACAAAGTTGTAACTATTTGATATGTTATATTTAATTGAATTTAATTGAATTTTTCATGAGTATTTATTAAATTGTAGCACTTTCTTGTGTTTTGTTTAACCATAAAATAATATAAATTTCTTATTAAGTTGTAAAAATATCATGTTTTATTCAATCAAATGTTCTCTTTATTTTTATTTGTTATCACTTCATTTTCTTTTTGGTTCATAAAATGCCATTAAAAATGAAAGCATTTAATCTGGAATGACTTTATTTTGATTTGAAGTTATCAAGTACTGCTTTAATTCTATTGTTTGATTGAACTTTAGAAGGTTTGTTTACTGTTTAGAACTAGGGCTATATCGCAATTATATGATTTTTAGTTCATTTTAATTCTGGCCGAAATACTATTATTTTTAAAGACATGTGACACAGACTGTGTAAATTGAATCAAAAAAAGACTTATAGAGCCATGAAGAACTATAGGTAAACCTAGGTAAAAAACACAAATTTCTAAACGAAAACAATTTAATTTAATTTGCATTAATCAATTATGTAGGGATTTCTGGAAATTTAAATATATTGTGGTGCAAAAAGAGTTGCTCTACATTTTTAGGCAACAAACTCTTTTTTCATCAAAAATGTTACTTGTCTCTGAGAATAGTCTGAATTTAAATTTTACTTAAATTTTAAATACAAAAATGCTTATTGGTGAATATTTAAATTTTAACCTAAATAAAAAAATAGAAAATAATGAAACAATTTTAAATATAAATCTTATGCAGATTTAAACTTTCATTACATAAAATTACAAAAACAAATAAAAACAACATTATTTTTAAATGAAACAAAAATCAAATTAATGAAATGATTTATATATATATATATATATATATATATATATATATATATATATATATATATATATATATATATATATATATATATATATATATATATATATATATATATATATATATATATATATATATATATATATGTATATACATATATATATATATATATATATATATATATATATATATATATATATATATATATATATATATATATATATATATTTATATATATATGTATATATATATATATTTATATATATATATATATATATATATATATATATATATATATATATATATATATATAGTATATACATATATATATATACATATATATATATACATATATATATATATATATATATATATATATATATATATATATATATATATATTTATATATATATATATATATATATATATATATTTATATATATACATATATATATATATATATATATGTATATATATATATATGTATATATATATATATATATATATATATATATATATATATATATATATATATATATATATATATATATATATATATATACATATACAGTCGTGTGCAGTAAAATAGTAGTGCGTATTTTATTTTTCTATCAACAAACTTTGAACATCAAAATATATTTTTTTATTGTTTGTTTTTTATTGTTATTGTTCATAAACTAAATGTTGTGATTATAATAGTATAAAAAAAATTTAAGAAAGATAATTCCAACAGTGTATCGTTTTTAATATTATCGATTGAAGGTTATTTGTATTTTTTTTTTAGGCTGTGCATCAAAATAGTAGTGAAAATCATTTTTTATGAAAAGGTCAAAAAATAATAAAATTTTATTACAAAAAAAAATTTTTTTTGAAGCTCTACATTAATATTTTTTAGCATGACCTTTATTTGTAATTACCGCCAAGCATCTTCGTTGCATGGAATTAATAAGATTCTGACACCGTTCGACAGATATATTTTGCCGTGCTGACTGTACTACGTCCCACAATTAATTACAAACTCTTGGACTATTTTCAGAAACTGCTTGTTTAACATCAATTCACAAGCTTTCAATCAAATTGAAGTCGGGGGATTGTGCTGGCCACTCCATCACATTGATTTTGTTCTCATTAAACTACAATTTGGCTAACTTGCTTGTATGTTTGGGATCATTATCCTTCTGGAACAAAAGTTTTAACAGCATTTCTTCTTTAGCATACGGCAGTTTTCTTCTTTAGCATACGACAGCACTATCTCCTCAAGTATTTTTACACATACAAACCGATCCATGATACCTTCTATGTGATGTATCGTCCCAAGACCATAGTAAGAAAAACAATCCCATATCATTATTTTTGAACCTCCATGTTTGACAGTTTTTAATGTAAATTGTGGCTTATATGCTGCACCCGTTAGTCTTCTAACATACTGTTTATGAACATAGGAACCAAAAGTTTTAATTTTGCTTTCATCAGTCCACAAATCATTTTGCCATTTTTTCTTTAGGCCAAGAAGCATGCATACGAGCAAATTTTAAACGATTTTCGATATGCCTTTTACTCAAAAGTAGCACTTTTCTAAATGTTCTTGCATTTAAATCGGCATGTGTTAATCGTCTTCGAATAGTTGAGGTATTAACATTTAATTCTAGCCTTTTTTTAATTTTTCTAGAAGTAATTAATGACTCCTTTTTTGCTAACAATACAATTCGACGATCTTCTATAGCGGTAGTTGATCTTTTATTTCTACGTTTTTCTGGTTTGGGTATCCATTTTAAAGCATTACAAATCATTGTTGGTAAGCATCCAACCAGTTCTTATATTTGTTTGTAGGCTTTACCAAGATTTTTAAGATTTATAATTAAATTACAAACTTCTTCAGTATATTAGTTGAGGTATTAACTATTATACTGAAGAATGTTTTTCTAAATTTTCAAAATTTTAGTAAGTGTATAAATTTATCTAATATTAAAATTATTTACTAACTTATTGCTTATTATTAAGAACTAATAATAATTAGAGTTTAATAAGTACAGCAAATATTACACAAAAATTAATTTTTGACTACGTTTTTATTGCACAGTCTAAAAAAAAAATACGAATGTCCTTCAATCGATAATATTGAAATTTAAAACCATTCAGTGCTGCAATTATCTTTCTTAAATTTTTTTTATACTATTATAATAACAACATTTAGTTTATGAACAATAACGATAAAAAACAAACAATAGAAAAATATATTTTGATGTTCAAAGTTTGTTGATAGAAAAATAAAATGCGCACTACTATTTTACTGCACACGACTGTATATATGTATATATATATATATATATATATATATATATATATATATATATATATATATATATATATATATATATATATATATATATATATATATATATATATATACATATATATATATATATAAATATATATATGTATATATATATTTATATATATATATATGAATATGTATATATATATATATATATATGTGTATATATATATATATATATATATATGTATATATATATATATATATATATATATATATATATATATATATATATATATATATATATATGTATATATATATATATATATATATATATATATATATATATATAGAGGCTTGGTCAGGATCGTGTGCGATTTTACATCAAAATATGACCATGCAAACTATTTGATTTTACTTAACTTGACCACGGTGTAATATGTTTTCAAAATTTATATGCGTTTTAAAAATGCGCTAAAAAAATTATCTTAACTATAAAGAAACTTAGAAAAAAACTTATTCTAAAAGAAGCAAAGAAATCTTGGTAAAAAAATATTGAAAAACAAAATAAAAACAACTTAACTAAAATAACGAAAAATAAAAACAAAAAAATATCGAAAAACAAAATAAAAACAACTTAACTAAAGCTTAAATAGCAGAATTAAAATTTTAACTTTACTAATGTTTTTATGTTATAATATTATGTGAAACACTTTTTAAATAAAGAAACAACTTCCAACTGGCGATTGTTTAATAAACGCGCACGTTCAAAACTTTAGAAAAAGTTTCTTAAACTATTCTTCACATTAAAGAAAACATAATTAAATTGTTAATTTAAAAAATTGAGATTTTAATAAAAAAAATTTTTTTTGTTAAAAATATTTATAATAAGAAAATAAATACTTAAATAATAAAAAGTATATATTATTCAATAATGTTTTTATAATAAATCATTAGCAGTGATTTGTTACTTTACAGGGTTTTGCAAAGTTATAAGTGTACGCTTGCAAAGTTATAAGTGCATATAGAGTATGGTGCAAAACTGAACCAGAGTTTTTAAAAAAATACAAAATAATGGTTTATTTTGTTTTCGGTATATTAGTGCTGTCGGGATTATTACAGTATTAAAGTGCTAATTTTTACAACTTTTTACGTCTCCTCCTTTTACCCCAATGCACAAGTATTTTTATCTAGTGACAAACATCTTTTGACTAAGTTTTGCACCATACTTGATGAAGGCAATATCTTTATTATTTTTCTCAAATTAATTTAACAGTTTTGTGTGCAAATCAATTGACTATATTTATATCTAAAATAATTTTCTGTTTTCATAAATTTTTATTGTTTAAATTTATTGTTTTTGATAGTTTTTTTAATATAATGGGAATTTCAAAGACAGAGAGTGATTTAATAAAAAAGATGATCAAAGAAGAAATACAATACGTAAAATTGCTTCTAAATTTTTATTAGTCATAAAAAATGAGACTCAAGCAAAACCATACATTGAGTCAAGAATATCCAGCATTCAATATCTTAAACTGGAAGCAATATATTAAAAGTACATCTGTGCCAGCCTAATTGATGAAGAAGGGGTGCGAGGCTGGTTAACAAATAGAATCTGTTTACCCCTTAAGTTTTTGCCTAGGAGGCCTTCTACAAGACAATAATCTGATGCATTTAACATCTGCCCAAGATGAGTATTTTTATCAAGACACCATCTCTAGCTTTTACTCATTCAAGAGCCCCAAGACCTGGCAGGATAACCTGACCTAATAGGAAATAGAGATTCATCAACAAACTTGTACAATATTTCACTAACCAGTATTAACTGGAGAATTATTAGCAAACACAGTACAATTGAGAAAATATGGCTTCAATTTAAAGGGTTGAGTTGGTATAGGTATTGATGGATGTAGCCTTATGTTAGGTGAAAACAATAGAGCAGTCACAAAATTATAAAAGATTCTACCAAACGCAATAAAATGTTCATGTTACAACCATGCTCTAAACTTATCAATTTCCTAATTTTTGTCTGAACGAGCCGTGAGAAATACAATTGGCAAAATGAAAGAAGTAATATAATTTTTTAAAGCTTCTCTAAAGCAAAGTAACGTTCTTAAATACATAAATAAGGGAATACTTACAAGGTTATGCAAAACAAGATAGATTGAACGGCATGTATGCTGCGATGTAGCTGCAATTATAAGGTTTTACTGTAATCTTGAAGGTAAAAGATAACATAAGTTCTATAATTTTTCTGACCGGAATTCTTGCTGGAATTTTTATTGACATTTCCAAGAAATCTTGTTCCAACTAGATTTTTAAATTTGCATTCTGATACACCCCTATTTAGAACCAAATACTGTTTGATTATCATTTGATGTACCAATTGATGATGTACCATTTGATGTCATGTTTTTTTTTTTCTACTACTTTTCAGAATTTTTGTTTCCACAATCAACTTTTGTTTTTTGACACTATCACCTACACAAGTTTCGCTACTACTACATTACTACACCTAAACAACTACAAAACAAAAAAAACTCATTTAAATAAAACCAATTTATTCATAGTATCTATAGAAATACCAAAAAGTTGAATTTTTAAATTTATGTTTAAAAATTCAAATTTTTTTTTTCCATAACACAATAAATCCAATTTAACCTAATTTTACACAAGTTATTATCATGTAAAGTTAAATTAAATTGGATTTAATGTGTTATGGAAAGAACTTAAAATTTTTCTATTTTGATTTTCTAGTCAAAAAATTTTGAGTAAAAATAACACTCTATTGAATTTTTTAGTTTCAAATTCCATAAGGGTTGTTACTTTACTGAATTTTCAAAAATTAAAAAAAAAAGAAATAATAAATATTCAGGTTTAAAATTCTAGATAGTTATTGTAATATTATAAAAATATTTTTTTATTCAGAACCTCAGAATGAAAATCATGGTTTACACATGGGACACTAATCGCTCCCAAAACATCCTTTCTGAAACACAAAGTCTTACATTTTATAACCTTAATGGTCTTTCAATACAAGTGAAAAACACCTCAAAACCAATCAACATTGCCATAAAAAACATTCCAGAAAAAATGAATGGGACGAATATATCTTTATCGATTCCTAACAATATATATCAAGTTAAGCTATTTTTGAAATCAGATTGTAACATGCTCCTAAAGTTTTTGTTTAAAAATGATGAAAATAATTCAACCAATCTTATTGTTTACATTCAGTATGGAAAAATTGCAACAAAACTTGATTATGATATTATGCTGAATGTTTCCAATAACCATGGCATTTTTATGACAAAAAATAGCTTACCTGTTTCAAATACAAATCTTGGTGATACTGGAAAAGAAGCAAAAAACAATTTTTCAGGAGTTTTACAGAGAAATCAAGATGTTATTCTTTTTAATGACAGTTCATTAATATTGTGGAATTTCCTGGAGTCAACATATGCTTTTCTAAACAAAACTGAGTTGCATTTATCTTTTTTATATGTTGGACCGATGCCTGATAAAAAATTAGATGTCAATCCATACACTTTTGATGAAGCAGAATCTGCTGGGACGTTTGACTATGAAATAAAATCATTTTGTGCTGAATGTAACTACTGGAGTGAAGATACTAATAGATGGATGTCTGATGGGTGTAAGGTATTTTAAAAAAATAGTTATTTCCAATTTATTAACAATTTATATAACTACTTCTAATTATTTATTTTTCCAGTAGTAACAAGAAAAACCAGACATTTAAGATGTATAAAGGTAATTTTCAAATAAGTCTGAAATTTACACAACTCTTAATTTAATCATTATCATGTCAAGCTTTCTTAAAACTTTTGTAACTGAAGACTTATTCAATAACATTACTATTTAACAATAACATTAATTAGTTGTATATAGATTATATAAACAATTATATACAGCAAATATACATCAAGTAGTTAATAAATAGCATATAATAACAGTAACAATAGTTTATAAAAATAACAAGGTTGTATTAAAATTGGTTAGTAATAAAACTTGTTAAAAACCAAAATTATGTTCTTTATTATACTATTTAATACAATTTGCAACACAATGATTGTATTACTAATGAATAAATATGTGTATAAATTTTCAACACAATGGTCGTGTGACCAAAGAACAAATAAATATGTGAAATAACTCTTCCTCAACTTTCTTTGACGTCCTTGGTGCACAAAAAAACTAACCTTTTATATAGAAATTATCAGCAAAATTGCTTGCAAGTTTGTTTTTAAAAGTAATCTTTTTTTATTAACAAATCTTTTCATTTTTAAAATATTGCTTGTGTGTTCATAATTTTTCTTTAAATATAATTTACTCTCTTTTATAAATACATTTTTTCATCGGCGAAGATTGCTTGTGGGTTTGTATTTTTTTTTTTTTTTAATCTTTATAAAATTAAAATTTTTTAAAAATAAAATTGAAAAAATAACTTACAACATAATTTTGTTTAATATTAATATTAAAATATACTACGTAAGTGGAAGGACGAGGGTTGCAATACAAATATACAAAGAAGAATACAAATGAAATATTTGCACTTGATGTTATTTTACTTTTATATAAAAAAATTTTATTCTTTAAAAAAAAAATATTCCCCTCTTTTAATCAGGAAATACTCTTTAATAAGGATAAAAAGCTTAATTTAATTACAAATGTCTTGACAAACTCATTGCTAAATATCATAACTCTCTGTAAAGACTAGAAAGTAGAAAATAAAATATAGCAAAACATTTGCTATAATTTAAGTTTAATAGTTCATTAAACTAAAGATTGACAGGTATGTTTCTATATAAATCTTGTGCAGACCTGTCAATCTTTAGTTTACTGAACTATTAAGTTTAAATTAAAAAGTTTATTTTCTACTTTTTAAAACAAAAAAAAATAATATTTTTGAGCAAATGTTTTTAATATATTTTTTGAATATACAATCTTTAAAAAATATGGTTTGAAAAATATAATAATAAATCAAGTTATGGGTTAAGCAAAACAACTCTTATATTAGTTATGCTAATTAATATTAATTAATTATGTTAATTATTATAAATAAAAGAATTAAAATTGTTTTTGATTTTTTTCATTCCACCATTTTCAGCAAAACAGAAAAGTCAAGCAGTTAAGATATTTTATGAATTATTTACTTTGTCAGCTGTCTATTTTGAACTGTTCAAAGATGGAACAATCCATCATAGTCTTTGAAATCCATCATAGTTCTTTGAAAGAGTGTTTCCTGATAGAAAGATAAGTCAGTTATTATGAAGTGGGTACTTGGATACTTTGAGTACTTGGTAATGAGTTACCAAATGCCTTCATATATGATTCAAAATAGTACCATTTTTAGAGAAACAATATTGACTCATATAATGTCAAACATGTTGCAGGTTTTCTATGACTAAACATGTTACAGGATTCCTGCAGAGCCTAAGTTGCTATTTTTTAGATAATTTTTTTCTGTTATCCATGGGATTTGATAAAACATATTTAGTTCTGCCATTTTAGGGGAAGAGGGAAATTAACTTTGTTATTTTGAAAAAAAACATTAAGTCAAGCACAAGAAAATTTTATTTTTGTTTAGTTATATTAGATTTGAGTTGTTGAATGGTTGTAAAATTGGAATTTATTATTAAACATTCTAGGGAATATCTTTGTGGTTAATAGTTTTGAAGTGTTCTCGTTAACAACTTTTGTTGACTCTGCTGTACTTATAATCTAATACCCTAATATTATAATATCTAATAAATTTATTACCATTAACCTTTATTAGTTCATATTTATTAGGTATTAACATTTATTAGTTCATAAATATGTCAATGGAAATTATAATTTATAAATCATAAATTTAAAATTTTGCTTCCAATTTTTTTCAATGAAATTTACTTTTATTTTCTTAGTTAGGTTTGGTATCAGTTTAAAATGTTTTTGTGGTTGAATAGGTAGCTTGTGCATTCTTTCCAAGTTTTGGAGTTAGTACATTCTGGACACAAGCTTGGCATCCAAGTACAGAATGCACAAACTACCTACCCAACCAAAAAAAAAATCACATTTGATAACTCACAATCTTGCCTAATTTATGTATTTATTTATATTTCATTTCAAAGAAAGTTTTACTTAAACAGTCTGTTATATCTTGTTTTTACAGTCTTGTTTTTATTTAATAAAGCTTTCTTGTTTTGACCAATGAACCTTCAGGTTCAACCTGATGTCAGTTTCATTAAAAAAAAGTAGTGTTAACAATAAAAAATGTTAAACATCTCTTTTTAACATTTCTTTTTAAAATCACTTTTTATTGTGCGCACTGCTTTGATATAGTCAGTAACTAATAATGTCAAAATAATTAAATTTTGTATGAGATATTTGTCTTGTACTATCATTTTTCTACTCAATATAGATTGTTTGATATAGAATTTAACATAACATATGAAATGCATATATATTTATAGAGACATATACATAGACTTGTTCTTCCTTAATGTTTTAACAATTAAATAATTTCTAAACCAGTTAAAAGAAAATTGAATGCTTATAAAATCCAAAGCCATTTAGTTAATAAATAAATTAATATTACTAAAAATAATACTTCAATGTAAAAATTTTAAAATATTTTAGCTTGATGTAGCAAACACAAGTTTTTCCATCACAAAGTGTAAATGTACTCATTTAACTGCATTTGGTGGATTTTTTGTTGCCCCAAACCCTCTATTTATGCCCACCTTTGCTTTGTTCAAAAAGGGGTATGCTCTAACTGTAACTGTTGCAGTTGTCATTCTCCTGTGGCTCGTTGGGTTGGTACTCTGCAGAAGAATGGATAAAAAAGATCTTAATAAGGTAAAAAATGTATTTATATTTTATGAAATAAATATAAAGTAGTATATGATAAATGGTTGTAAAAGGGCAAGATATTGATAAACTCCAGAAAATTGATAAACAGCAGGAAAAAGCTAAAGAAAAATGCTGAAGAAATTTGTTTAACTATGTGAGACCATTATTTTATTCTCCTTCAGATTTGCACAGTTAAGGCACAGTTTATATTATAATTGCGTCCAGAAAATAATTAGTAACATAAATTTTTAATAATAACTAGAACAGATAACTGCGGTAACCATGTTAATAAACTTAGCAAAGAAAGAAATACTATGGTAAAGAAAGTAAAGATTAAAAAAGAAAAAAAGTAGAGAATAAAAAATGTAGAGAGTTAGAAAGAAAGAAAGCAGTTAAATTTAATAAGTTACTTATTTTTTATTTAAATTCACTTCATTACAAATGTAAGTAATGAAGCAAATAAAATTCACTTCATTAATTACATTTTCATGAAACTTCTATAAAACATTTGAAATTTACAGATAACAAATAAATATATCTTAAACACAAATAAATATAAGTATAACATATTAATATTAAAGCTTATAAATATTCACATTAACATAAAATTATCAATAAAGTTACATACATACATACATACATACATACATACATACATACATACATACATACATACATACATACATACATACATACATACATACATACATAAATACACATAAACATAAATATAGTATAAGAATACAAAAAAAATATATACTTTGTTTTATTTTAAAATGTATGACAATTAATTATTTAAAAAAATATTTTTTTGCAACAAATCCTAATGTTTTATGTTATCTTTTTTCTTAAATAATATTTTACAGTTTTTTTTCTTGACAAAAAACTAAAAATAAAAAGAAAGCAATAGATTATTGGTCAGAAAAAATTTACTTCACTTTTTTCTAATAATTATTTTTAGAACCAGTTTAAAAGAAAATTTTAAATTTTTCCATAATGCATTATTTATAGAATCTTGTGGCAGAGTTAGATACTTTTATATTAATTTTCATTTTTTTTTCTGTGTTCGCCTTTTTCTATCCTATTTATATGTATTTACTTTTTTTATAAATGTTGGTATATATAGGTTGGTGTTTGTCCACTTCTTGATAATCAATATGGTGATACTTATCTATACCAAATAATAGTAAATACAGGTAGTCGAAGAAATGCTGGCACAAAGTCTAACATATTTTTTACTGTTGTTGGTATGAATTGAATTCTTTTAGTTGGATTCTTATCATGTTTTTATTGATATAAAATAGCATAATATAACTCCATATTGATTTTTGTATGTATATATCAAATTATGTATTGCTCAATATAATTCTGATTCCTGCATGTTTACACAGAACTCATGGCAGCCATTACACCAACATTAATGGCAAGAGAGAGTTGCAGCTTCCTTAGTGGTCAAAGTGGTTAACTCGCTACACTTCCAAAATACATCACATCGATTCAAATCTTTTTGCTTGAACATTTAATTTTTTTTTTTAATCTTTTCCAATTATCCAAAATACAAATTAAATCATTTTTAAAGTTTTATAGAAATTATACACATAACATGTATAAAGATATTATATACATAACATGTATAAAGATATTATATACATAACATGTATAAAGATATTATATACATAACATGTATAAATATATATACTGTAGCAAACAATAAAGGAGAAAGTTTTTTTAAAAACTTTTAAATTTCTTACACCAGAAGAAATTTGTTGCGCATAGCCATGATAGTTACACTTATGTTATTAATGTGCTAATCTTATTAATATGTTAAGTAAAAAGTCAAGTCTGTGAATTTAACACACATTAAAGAGGCATATTTATTTCTTATTATAAAAAAGATATCAAGTTCAAATTTTTATTTACTTTAAAATAGAAATAACTTTTAAATCAAGATTCCTAAGAATTATGATATTTCTTAAGAATTAAGAAATTTTGTAAAAATAGTAATATTGTTAAAAATTAAAATTAAAATTTTAAGATAATTCTAATTTCCAAACCTCTAGTACATAACAACAATGGCTACCGAAGAGGTAAAAATTTTTTAAGGTGAATAAATTACAAATTTTTTCATAACTTTACAAAGTAGACAATATGTATAGTTTTTCAAGAAAAAGCATTTACATAAATGTAAATGCTTTTTCTTGTTTATTTTTTAAAATTTTTTTCTTGTTTATTTTTTTACATTTTTTTATTTTTGAACATTTTTTATTGTCTTAGTTATTGAAATTAAAATTTTTTTTCTGGACTGGGATATAAGTTTAGATTTTTTTTTTCAGTATTTAAAAAATCAAGTTTTCATTTTTTATGTCATAACTAGCACTGTTATTGATTGCACACTTGATTGTTACAACATTTTTATGTCAAAACATAATACTGTTATTTCTTGATTGCACACTTGATTGTTACAACATTTTCATGTTATAACATAGTACTGTTATTCTTGATTGCACACCTGATTATTACAAAATTTTTGTATGGCCTTAGCCTGTTCTAATCAAGTTGTCAGGATAGTACTGTGATATCAACTGATACAGCGATATGAAAAAACACATTTATCTGCAATCATTTGCACCATCATCTGTAATCTTTATCTCCATCATCTGCAATTAATCTCAATTATCCTTTCACACTTTTCATAAACAACTGTAAAAAGTTTAAATCAATTTTTTGTAGTTTTAATTTGATTTGATCAATCAAAACTTCCTCTGTTAAGGCTTGCCAATCTCCCTTGTAAACCTTTTGTGTCAAATGTCCCCAAAGATTTTTATGTAGGCTTGCTTGAGGCACATTAAGAGGTTTTACAAAATGTTTTTTAATTTTTTACACAATTTTTTGAATAATAAAAAATTAATAAATCTGGCCAAAATATATAGTTTAAGTCTCCATGATTCTTGTATATGAATGGAAGAAATTACTTTTCTAAACATTCATCAATATAGATCAATGCCTTGATTGCTACAGCCTTGGAAGTATAAAACAATGTCTTGGACATATTACGGCAGATATGGCTATCCCCATTAATAATTTTTATGGAAATTTATCTTTTCCTATAAAGTGAACACTTTCTGGGTATGTTTTTTGAAACAAAAGTATTTTTTATCATTGATGACAAAAATTTCTTACTGTAGAGATTATATAAGATTTCTTATTATTTATACTATTAATATTATCAAAAAAAAAAAATTTTAAAAGGGTTTCATGTTTGTTCTGAAAAGAAGCGAAGTTTTTAAAATGTTTAAAAATAATTAAAAAAGTTTTAAAAAATTACAAGTTTTAAAGAAGTTCTTTTTAAAAAACTATTTAAGTAATTTACTTTTTGTTAAAAATAATAGGTTTTTAAGCCATAAAATTTAAACCAATAATTTATATAAAATAAATATTATTTTAAATTTTTTTTTAATTTTGCTTCATATATATATATATATATATATATATATATATATATATATATATATATATATATATATATATATATATATATATATATATATATATATATATATATATATATATATATATATATATATACATACATATATATATGTATATATATTTAAACAGGTGACCTTAATGACAGTGGAGTGAGACGTCTAAGAGATGCTGAAAGAGAATGTTTTCAAAGGGCAAGTTGTGATGTTTTTATAATGACTACCCATAATTCTCTTGGTGAATTAGATTTTATTAGACTGTGGCATGACAATAGTGGTGGAGGTTGGTATGTAAAGTAAGCATTCTTTTAGTTTTTTTAATGCTGCAAAGTGGTACATAATATAAAGATGAAAGTTGCTTATATTTTTATTATAATTAAGAAAATTATTGTACTATTTATTAAATATTTAACTTCTGTGTAAAGACCTGAGATCTTACAAATCTCAGATCTGAAAGACCTTAGGTCATGTTTCATGTGATAAAATTGTAGTTGTATGATGAAACATGTTTTATGTTATATTGGGTTAGTTTAAAAAAAATTTCGTATTTCGCTCATACATTTATCAAAAGTAATACCAGAAGTACTTTGAGTGTTTGATGTTATTTTGTTTCTAAAGAGAAAAAAATGCAATGAAAGCCAAAAGAAAGGTATATATTTTTTTATTCTCATTTTCTCTCAACAATGCTGCAAGCAACCTCTATTAAATTGGGAGTTACTAGAAAAAAAGAATAGAGTTATATAGTAAGGAAACGGTTGACTTAACTTGAAAAGTTAAAAGCTGTATGAGTCAGTAAAGCATGAAGATGGGAAACAGTTCAAAACACTAGACAAATAAAAAGTTTTTGGAGCATGCAGGGACAAACACAGTAATAGAGTGAGATTTTGCAGAATGATGAGTCAATGGAAAATGAGCTTTAGTTGATGAAACTAGAGTAGGTAGTTTCTTTGAGCAGGGAACATGATAGTGTTTGTAGAAAAGAGAAAGAGATGCAACTTTATGACAATAAGAAAAAGACTCAAGCTTAGCAGAAAGGTGGGTCCAACTATGTTTACAATGCGTTTTTGGACCTTGTCTAGAAGAAAAAAAGCATCATTAGAAGAAACAGCCCAAATATGACAACTGTATTCCATAAAGGGATGAATAAGAAATTTGTAGTGGTAGAGGAATCAGGGAGCATGTTCATAAAACTTTTTTAAGCGTAAGTTTGGTGTAAGTTAGGAGCTTACAACAAATTTATTTATTTCGTATTCACAAAACTTGCGCAAAAAACTTGCAATTTATCTTGCGTAAGTCCAACTCTCAAATTATGGGATTCACAAAACTTCTTAAGAAAATGCTCAGCTTGGTTTAAGCAAGAAAAGTTATGTTAGGTAGGAGCTACCTTAACTTTGGCGTAACTTTAAAATATTGGCACAACTCACATATATTGTTTTTTTTTATTAAGATTTGTGATAAAAAATTTTAAAATTTGTGAATAATATAGTGTAAATGTGCCTATAAATTATTGAATTCTCATACTATACTATACTATACTATACTATACTATACTATACTATACTATAGAGAATAGAGTATACTATAGATTCTATAGTATACTTTATACTCTATAGTCTATAGAGTATGCCACATATATACTAAGTGTAGTCATATATTTTATTACAAAATTTATCACATTTTACAAACTTTATTACAAATGTAGGCATACCTATACATAGAGTATATAACATAGACATTATAGACTAATTAGTAAACAACATGAGTATATAGTTATTAATAACTACATACTCTGTTAAAATGTATATTTTAAAGAAATACTTCTTGTTAAACTTTAGCAATTTAATTAAAGTAGTTTAATCTATAGGCTATAGTTCATTTTGCAGAAATATATTACTGCCTAATGAACTATAGGCTATAGATTAAAGTAATTTGATTAAACTGCTAAAGTTTAATGAGAATTTTTTTTTAAATTTATAACTAGTTCCTTTTGCAGTAATAACTACATACTCTGCTAAAATGTTGTTTACTAATTAGTCTGTAATGCCATTTTGTAGTAGTAATTACAAACTCTGCTAAAATGTTATTTACTAAATAATCTATATGTTTTGTCAGTTTGCTGTATAAAAGACGGCAGAAATTCTATGCAAGCTCTAAAAAAATTCTAATTTATTCTATTATAAATGAATAATGTTTGTTAATAAAGAATAATGTTTATTAGCATGTGCTTACAAATTAATAAGCTGTAAATTGGTGCTACTCAAACTTTTAGTTTTAGTTTGAAGGGAAACGGTAATATTCCCAATATTAAGTTCAATAAATTTATGTTTATGAAAAGATTAAGTTAAGTAGTTTTATGTTTAATAAAATATGTATATATATTATAGTGAAGTCGTATTTGTTTGAAGTCGTATTTCAGGTGGTCAAAAATATCAAAATCTAAAGGTATGGTCTAAATGCTTTGATTTTTTATTTAAAATAATGTTCTAAAGTAAATTGCTCCTTAGCAAAGGCATAACAATTGATATACATCATATATTGATTCTTATTGAATTGCTTGAGCAATCATTTAAGAGCTTGAGCTATTAAATGATTGATATAATGAAGTCTATTAACATAAATAAAGAGAGTATATATAAAAAAAAAAAGTTTTTTGTTGCTATTTAAGTGCAGTGTTTAATGAATATGAAGTTCTATACCATTAAAAAAGTTTCAAATAAAAATTCTAATGATTTTTGATATAAATCTATATTTAGTAATAGCAATGCATGAAATTGGAAAAGGACATTACAAAAGCTGTGTTTTTGTGAATTTGAGGCATCATTTTTAGAATTAAGACATTCAATGTGTTGTGGAACTATTAATACCTGGTGCAAATTTTAAGCAGACAGTATTATTGAAACATGTGCAAATAGGAAAACCAAGACAGCCTGTTGTAATTACATAATCAAGCTAATATTTATTGATTTATCTGATAAAAACATATTAGAGGGGTGCCTTGAAAAAACTCAAAACAATAAAGTTTCTTTAATTGCAAAAATTTTAAAATGGTGTTTAAAAGATAATATGGCTAACTAAATATTTATTTAGAACTAATAATCCTGGTAATAATTATATAACATTTTGTAATCAAAAAGATAAAAAAATTCTAATATCATCTGAAAAATAATATTTGTTGAAAATATACGATTTTAGAAACTTGACCACCTTAATTTATTTTAGTTGTTAGATAGATGTTATTAAATTTATTTCAGTTTATTAAAAGTATGTCACTTTGAGTATAAAATAAAGCATATTTACATAGAGATTTTTTATGTATCTATAATTCCTTAAAATATTCATTAAATTTAATTTCATTATTTTTTTTCAAGTTTCAATTTATTTTCACTAATTAACCAACTTTCTTAGATTTAAACATAAAAAAAAAAGTTGCTATAGTAATTGCAAAATTAGTTAAGTATATATAATAGTTGCTCTTTTGATACATTTATACTACCTTGTTTATTTTAGTTAAAATGTAAACCAATGGTATCTCATTTTTTTATAATCTAACTTAGACTTACGCAAAAAATCTTTAGATTTTTTGCGAAAGTGTAGCTTTTGCGCAAACTTAACTTTACACAAACACTGGGAAATGTTTGTGAATACCAAATAGTTACAAAAAAATAAATTTGCGTACCATTTCCGTAAGTTACACAAGAGTTACAAAAGTTTTGTGAATCGCACCCAGGAGTATAAAAGCGGCAATCACAATAAAGAGAAGCAACCTTAGCAGATGCTAATTTAGCAATTAATTGTATATATGGTTTCCATAAAAGATCAGTAGTAAACGATAATCCAAAAAGTCATAAAGAGGACTCAGTTAGAGGGTTGCCATTCATTAATATAGAAATGTCAACAGTTCTAAGTGATTAAAAAGAGAAGACTTTTTGTCAAGAGAGTAGTATAAAGTTGAGTCATCAGCAAATTTTAGTAAGGTTTTCAGGAAGATCATTATATGTAGATAAGAAATAAAACAGGACCAAGAATAGGCCATCACTCTTGGAGTACTTTGAGGTAACGAAGAATAGGCCATCACTCATCTGGAGTACCTTGAGGTACTCCAGGTGTTACTGGAAATAAAGAAGAGTGATGGCCTTTGAGGATGACTTTAATAAAGTTGTTGGAAAGAAGCGGTTAGAAAGAAGCGGTTAGAAAGAAGCGGTTAGAATGAAGCGGTTAGAAAGAAATGGTTAGAAAGAAGCGGATAATCTCAAAAACTTTTTCAGATACACTATATGAAACAAGTTTAACTAGTTTTGTAAAGCCTTAGATATGTGAAGAGTAATAGTTTTAGTCTCTCTGTCTCCTCAGTCACAGCAGTTAGCAAGTTAGCTGTAGAGCAAGAGGCTTTAGGGTTGTAGTAAGTAGTGTGATAATAGAGTGAGTTCAAAAAGGAAGTACGAGATAAAAGATTCAAAGAGATCATTACATGGTTATAACCACCTAAAGGAGAAAAAGCGGAACTTGAACACAAGATAGAATTAGAGATCAGACATAAATCAAGAAGTGAAGTTAAATGATTAGGGTTGTCAAGAAAACTAGTCACAAAATTAACTAATCTGAGGAAGAGATTGAGAATTGCAGATGTTAAAGCCTTTAATGTTAAAAAAGCCTATAAATGTTAAAGCCTTTAGTGCCAGTAGGTTCAGTGGCATTAAAGCTAAGCTATTCAGTGTAGTAAGCACTAAAGTCACCAATAACAACAAAATTGGAAAAACAGTAAGAGAAAAGACATGGTAAAACTGATCAGAAATTACCTCTAAAAGAGTGCAGCTGAATGAAGAAGGAGGTTGACAAAGAAAAAAAGTAAGGTAATAGAGTAAAGAGGTGCTAAGCAAAAATACATAAAAGATTGGTCAAAGGATTTGAATCTGATTTTATGACAAGTAGGTGAGTTGATAAGTATGTATACCCCCAAGCCAAGCATGTGGCTATTGGAGTCTTTATGAATCAAAGGCCAGTACCCGTTAACACTGAAATATAAAAAAAATAGCAGAATTTAAATTAGTCTCATTATGAGCAATCAAGTCTAGTAAATTTTAAGGTAAGACTCAACTGATTTAAGGTTGCTTTGCAGATCACAAATATTAGTAAAAAATATATATTAAAACAGTTAGATGGTGAGAATGGTTTTTTATACTTAAAATTTTGGATTACTTTTTGCCTGGTTTAAGTTCAAAGAGAACTGGACACATTCATTGTTAGAGCACAACTTTCCAAGCAATAAAATGTGTAATTTTCTCAGTCCTGTTAATAACCGGAGATAACAGGAAGAGTTGCATAGCCACTATCAAAGAGGCATAAGTAAAAAGCTATGAAGAGACTCAAGAAGATCCAGAATTCATTATCCTAGGCAGGAAACAGTGTAACAAATGTAACACATCTAGAATGTAACCCATCTAGAATACTTAGGCAGACCATCAATATTTCCTCATTGCATCTAACGGTTTTTTGATATAAATCATTTTTGATTCACTGCTCAATTGCAATAATGTTGTTTCATTTTAAAAAGCGACAGGTGATGAATAGTGAATAGTTATATGAAAGTAAATAGTGAATGATAATGTAAAGTGTAAAAGATTGAAAAACAAAATGAGCTTTTGCAATTCACACCGAAGCAAAATATTTATGTCTAGAAAATTATGCTTTGCATATGGTGGGATTTTAAAGGAATTTTTTTTATTAAGAGTTTTTTCCACAAACTCAAGCAGTTTATTCAGGGAGCTCAACCTGGTCACTTGATAACAGGAGTTAGTAAAAAATTCCCAAATTGGCTAATTGTTATTGGGTCATAATTCATGAAAATAACATTTAACAACCTGTCAAATATTAGTAATAATCAGTGTCAGTTTTTCCAAGAACTACAAAATAAACGACTCCGCGAGATCCAGAGTGCTTATTTTGGGCATGAACATTTCACCATATTTACAGCTGCTTGTTACTTTCATAAAAGTATTACAGTTCAGAATGGTAAACTTGATAAAAGTTTTAATTTGGTGAAGTTTCCAGTAGCAATCATATCAAATAAAATGAAACATGATTGCAATGTTGCATTTACAAACAACAACCGGCTTATAAGCATGATCAAGGGTATAGCTCCATCAGTTTCCACTTTCTATTTCTGGAGTGACAGATGTGCTGGTCAGTTCCAATCTCAATTTATCTTTGGGTCCTTCTTTTATTACCCTGAAAATATTACATTGACTTGGAGTTATGGTGAGGCAAATCACTTTAAAGGACCTCATGATAGAATTGGTGGAACTATTAAAAGCCAAGTTTAAAGTGAAGTTTTGTCAGCTATAAATGTAATTGAAAATGATTAACAGCTTTTTGAAGTAGCTTATCGGCTGTGTGACATTATGTTAGTC